TAGTCACAGATATTTAATACAAGACACGGATTTTCATTTGTTATAAAGAGCAATATTGACAATATTTTATATATATATATATTCATTGCTTTAACATACATTTTGTAGTTTCCTTTCATTTAAAATTATTGAAGTAAGCTTGGGGGACTCAAAGGGCACCCGATTGTTTGTCTGAACACCTTGTTTCTCTTGTGCATTAAGAACACTTTTGTTAGGGCATGAATTAACAATAAATAGGTTATATACAGTATAAAATACCACGTACTGTCCGCCCTCCCATGCCACCCTGGCATGACCTCTTGCCCCCCCTTTGCCACCCCATGTAAAATGTTCTTGAACCGCCACTGGGAGGGAGGAAAAGAGAGGATCCGTTTCTCCCGCGTCGTAGTACAGTTTAGCGAGAGCGCGTATGTTTTGGATTAGGCCAACCGGCTAACTCAAACATATCCAGGTTAGGTTGAACCAGCTTCGTCGTACAGGCCTCTGATCTCTGATAAAAAGCAATCGTGTTATGATCATATTGAGCTAATAGTGTGAGTCAGGGACGTGCACAGGTACGGGCTAATGTTGCCCGGGCAACGGCCCGTTTGCCATTTTTGTCTGACCTGCCCCTCTGGAGAGAGTGAGAGGTTTTTTTTTTCATTTCTGTTGTGGCCGAATAAACATGATAAACCCACAATTAGTATTGTAGCGTCTCGCTGCGGGAAACACACCGGAAGTCAGCNAAGACTCTTATGACAACATTCGACTTCATACAGCACCTAATCAGGAAATTCGCAGGAAAATTGATGCATGCTCAGCTGTAACTGCAGATCTACTACAGTTAATGAGAGTAAGATTAACTGAAGATGCAGGCGACTTCGACGCTGAAGCAGAGAAATCAGGGTTACGTATGCTGCTTAACAATCAGTATGCTCGGTCCATATATGGATCTACAGCATCTAGAGCCACTGCACCTAGCTACCGTTCAGACCATATCTCAGAGTCACCAAGTATTTCAGCCAAGAGAGCAGAGACAGCAGTGGCGTTTTCTCCTGGAGGCCAAGGGAAGCCAGGCTTCCCCTGTTTTTTCGGATTGTAGTTATAATTTTAATAAATAAATGAAAACACTTCGTTTAGTTTCGGAAATTCTTTGTTGTGTGTTGCTGCCGGCCCGTCTCTCCCCCATTCTCATTGAGTATTTTACAAAGAGTGAAACAGCGCCCCTCTAGATGTTACGGTGAAACCGTAGATTGCACTCTCTGTTGCGAGAGGAGGCCAGCCGAAATTTGCTTCCCTTGGTGAACAAAAATTGAGGGATTGACCAATCAGATGAGGCTCACGTCATGCCCCTGCCAACCTGTGATTGGTCAGGGCCATGCCAAGGGAAGCCAGAGGCGGCTGGCTTCCCTTGCCTCACAATCCAATCAAATCGTATCAACTGAGTGGTGCAGTGACGCGTCCTAAAACCCGGAAGTAAGCTGCGCTCGGTTTCCCTCGACAAAAAAGCAATGGGATTTCTCCATTGGATTTTGACTCCATAAGGTCATTGGAAAACGAACCTGTTAGATAAATGATTGTTTTGTTCAGCCGGATAATATCCACATGTCTACCCTACTTTTATAATTTTCGAATCATAAATCTAATCGATAGAAGATAGATAGCGTCACTGCACCACTCTCACCTCCGTTAGAAAGTAGCAAGCAACTGAAGCAAGTGCAATTATGGAGGGTGGAGATTTGGAGTATTTAATCAAAAATAATTGTACTAAACTTCCGCTGCAGCAGCAACAACAAATACAATCTGATGACAGGCCAATGCCCAAACTGGAGCTGTGTACAGCGAGGAACAAAGGAGCGAACCGGATGTAAAACGTTAAAGGTCTCCTGATTTAGTTTGTGAATGAATGCTTATTAGAGTTTCGGCTGGAGAGTGCGTGCGGACCTGTCGGTTAGATAACAGGCGTATGTAAGTCCTGCATCTGTATGATACAAATGTGTGTAAAATGATACCGGGCGCTGTAATCACTCATCTGGTTACGTTATTACATTGCATCTTACATTTGTTGGGGATTATCAAGTGAATAGTGCTTTAAATCGCAGCAGGAAAGTTAGTGAGTGGAACTATTTTGGGAAGTTTTGCAGTTCACTGAAGAGCAAACAGTGACTAAACGCCAATATGAGAGGAGCTGCTGAGAATAGGTGCAGCAGGCAGGTCTAGAGAGTAGACACAGCTAGTGGAGCAGAACTAAGTCTTAATAGACAAGCCTTTTTTGGCCATGTTGAGGGATACAAAACAGAACATTGATAGCTTTTGGGAAAATGGGTGGCAGATTTAAATCAGATTTTATGTCAGACATAATGTTTTTACGGCCAAGTTTATTTTATTATAAAATGTCGGCTGATGGTTTGTACAGAAAACTGTATCATCTCCAGCCTCTCTTTCATCTGACTGCTCCTTTAAAAAAATACTTACATGAACAAATGTTTACAATGCTTTTCTTGCAGTAAAGACAGGCAAGGCCTTGTGTTCATATTATTCCACCTAAATCATACAGCCCCATAATATTATATACAGTAAGTTCTCATTTGGCTCATATTTAAAAACAAACATTATTTAAGATTTACAATTCTAGCTTTGTAAAACATGTCTGATCTTGCTACTACCATCCAGTATCTTTGCTTTTCTTCTGTCAACTATTAGTAAATTGACACCTCTACTGTACCACACATAATCGCAGCAATCATCCCTGTTTACTACACTTTTCTTCATTATACTAGATAGATACCTATAAAAAAACTCCCAAAAATAAAAGTTCATAGGAGAATACAATATTTAAAAGAACAGTGAATTAAGTCAAATCCTTTAACAGAAGGAGCAGCAGTAATCCAGACATTTGAAGGCGTCTCACTGCTGCTGAAGCTGCAGGCTGTTGATGAACACGGTCTGCAGCTCGGTGATGTCGTCGGTGGTCTCTATGGGGATGCTGAGCTGGCCTGGGGAGCTTGAAAGTCCGGCAGCAGGTTCGTAGAAAGGCTGGCACAGGTTGTCGTAGTAGGAATCCCCACAGCCCCCCACTGCACCCTGGAAGCGCTCTGTGACGTCAGGGCAGAGGTGTAGTGGTGACAGGCGGCTGTAGTCCTGTACCTGGTGCCCCCCGTGGGGTGGGTGCAGGTGGTGTTCGGGCCCGGGGCTGTGGCAGGGGCTGTGGGACGGGCTGTGGGGGATCAGGCAGGTCTGCAGACAGCTGTTCCTCCTCATGGCCCGGTTCAGGTCCAGGCCGGCAATCAGCGGCCGGCCGATGCTGATGCTTTTGGTCCAGTGGACGGATTCATCGTCCATGGCGGGGAAAGTTCCCTGAAGGCACACGGTAAAGACCAGCTCCTCCTGTTGCATGGTGGGTTAGAGGAGGAATAGTGTTTAGAAACAAAAAGGGATTCATTTGTATTTTTATGGGCCACAAAGCTAAATGTATCAAAACGCTTTCTCGGATGAACACATGATCACAGAATAAAATATCTATTCTGTCCAGTGATATATTGATATATGTTGTGATTAACTTTGGTAGGGTATGATACATGATATAGAATATGAGTTTAATTTTTAAATACCAAATGTAACATTTGTGATATTGGGCTATATAAATAAACATTGATTGATTGATTGAACAGACTCTGGAATTGAATGGCTGCCATCCATGTAGAGATTGAGATTTAAAGAACATTTGGATTGGTCTCTTAATTTTTTACAGACCTGTATCTCTTAACTATTGACAAAATGTAAGAGGGATTTGGTACAGGTATTCACGATGACCTAAGGATGAGCCACCACCAGCTCTAATGGTCTTAACACAATGTGTTAAAGACAGGTTATTAAACGTTGGGCTTCAAACAGGAAACAATAGGCTTCCTCAAGAGCTAGAAACATTTTCTAAAACCCTATAAACATAACAAAAACTTTCAAGCTTTCTTCTTTTTTTTTTAAACAAAGAAATTGAGTTAAAAAAAAACACATCGATGTTTATAAAGAGATTGTAATGTTGAGTTTTACCCTGAGTTTCTGCAGAGAGCTGACTCTGGTGTAGAGGCAGTGCTGGGGCAGGTTGCTGGACAGAAGGTAGATCCCGGTCTCCTCTGGGGTCTCTCTGTTCATCTCCTTAGGGTCCACATCAAGGTCCTGTAGTGAGGAACACATGCAGGTGGCAGTGGAACACACTCTATGGGCATTTACAGTACATGTGCTGTTAGATAGGTGAGAGAGGGGAGAAATGTATTTCTTTCTTTATGGCCAGTGTTCATGACAACATACTGACCTGGGAGAAGTCTGTGACGTGCGCCTGGCAGGATGACATGTTTTCGGGCTTCTTCACGATGTGAGTGTAAATGACGAGCACGTTGGAGAACTCTGCAGCGAAGCCCAGCTTGATCTGAGCCCCGCAGTCAAAGTTAAGACACATGCTCTCGGGAAGCTCTGGAATACAGTACACAAGTAAAAAAAAGAAAGAAAAGACATGCAATGAATAGGGGATAAATAGATAAAAAGATAAATGGACATTTAAAAAAAGTTCTTTCTAAACTTTATTGTTATTCCAAACACAAAAAGTCACAAGATCATCTTTTCTTAAAGGCTCTACATTTTAAAATCTTCAACATCAGCGATACCCAAGCTGAGATTCAGGTACCCTTAATTGAATGGTTTCACAAGCCAAACAGATTTGAAACCACTTATAGAGAACACTCCAGGTAGTTTTCAGGTTGTAATATTTGACAAAATGACTGGAAGTTATGTTAACTTCCTCGCTAGCTTCTGTGTTCCCTATGCAAATATCTTTTAGCTGATGCCAGAGGTGCTAATTTTATTATCGGGGGTTTCTTACTCTTCCCATCATGTTTCTAAAAAAAAGTGTGGTTTTCTTGAGAAGGCTCAATGTGTGTGTAATTTGAGTGAGCACTGAGTGTTTAGTCAGCATTAACCTGAGTCAACATTTGACTGAGCGTGCAGTACTGAGTGCAGTGATACAATACTAAACAAACATTTTCAAAACTTTGTTAAACATACCGTGAGCCTTTGCCCATTGGAGTCTGTGAGCGTGATCACCGCTGTCGCCGGGCAGGATAGGATCCGTCAGCGCCCTCCTTTCCGACAGACTACTGCGGATCTCCAGAGCCTGCTTCCCCTTCGTAGCGTCAAACTGACCCATATCTGGACACAAGATATGGCTTATATGGTTGCCAACAGCTTGTCTTGACTGGAATACCACACAATATTTTAAAAACTCCATAATCGTCCATGCATATCCTTATTTTAGGTTGGACCAGCAATTAGGAGCTGCCATTTTTTCTGCCGCATCAAAATAGAAACTCTCGTGGGTAACTTGACCACAATTATGGACAAACAAAAATAGAGGCATTGGAGACCCACTTCTCTTTCTCTCTTCGGAGTCCGATGCACCAAGCCACACCTCCCTTTTTTGATCGTTTGTCCATACATTGTCTCGAACTTTTTTTTTTTAGTTTGAATTGCATTTAAGCTTTTCTCTCGTCTTTGCCGCTCGGTCTAACTGTGTATGAATTGACCCACCACATTATAACAAGTGGAGAGAACCGTTTCGTTTTTTCATTGGCCGTTCGCGGCAGTTCTAGCTTACATCGAAAACCCATCAGACACCTGCAATTCGATCGAGCCGATGCTATTTAGCTACTACCGAGACTCTTCGCTCTTCTCACAAACTTACTGCGACGCAGCATCGCGTTCCGATGATATCTCCCACCCACCTTAAGGGACTGCATTCTACAGTTATAGTTGGTCGGGTTAGTCCTACCGGCATTACTCTAACTATGAAGACAACGTATGCGCAACTCCGGCGTTAGTGGTATCACTACTCGGTAGCTTGCCTCCACATACTTCTCTTGTACTTCGGCGGAATTTATGTGAATGAAGTATTTATTAGCGTTTTTCTAGAAAGTTTTACACATGTAGGTACGTATAAAAGTTGTTGTTTATAATACAGTTTTTCTTTGTTTCTTGGAGTTTTTTTTTCTTTTTATATGTTTTATTTTGTGTATTGTAACAAGTGGGCAATAGTATCGAAACAAAGTTTATTTGTAATGATTATGCGCTTAGTTAGATAATGGCACAATTGGGGAGGATGCTTATTATATATTACTAACATATACATTGTCCTTTTAGCTGGAATGACTCAATTTAATTCGATCAAATGACATAAATTAAACACAACTCTTCTATGGCTACCTCTTAATCTTTCTGTTAAGTTAGTTCACAAACCCATACTTCAGTTAACAAAGATGTCAAAACAAAGGGGTACCCTACAAAAAGTAGATCCAGGTTATTTCAACTAATTTACTCGTACGAACTTAATAGTAGGAGTTTTAACATAAACGGAGCTCCCGATTACCTCCAAGTAAAAAATATAGGTCCCAAATTACTTCCTTTTAATGAACTCCACCTACATTTTACGTGAATGAAAACTTGGTGTAAATTCCTATGGAAGTCCTACCCGATTATTTACATGAACGTATTACACTCAAAGTAACTCGAGTGTCAACGTTCCAGCCTGGCCCC